TAATTGCTATGGATTTATTATCCTGATCAAACAGCTAATAATGCTTGAAGACAAAAAGTGACTACATCCCTTAAAATCCTTCACTGGAATCTTTGGGGTGTTTCTGTTCTAATGCATAGGATATCTTCTGACTCAGACTGGAAAAGTGGACAGGTGTTTTACCTGTCTTACCATGAAAAGGATAAACTAGTGTTTCAATGAAGATCTCTCTGAGATGTGGGTGACATTTTGCTTCTCAGTTTTACAAGCATTGGCCTTTGAAGTGAAACATGACTATCATTTCCTATGCTTAAAAAAAGTGCCCAGAGATAGAAGTTGGATACAGAAAGAGTGGCGCCCCATCTGGAATTTGGTGTCTGGAATGATTGCTTCATGTTATTTCACAGTAATGCCAGCCCTCTGGGTGCAACTCACCTCTGCTCCAGGCTTGAGTTGTATGAAGGCACACATGGGCTGGTAGGAGCCCGTTCCACAGACAAACACATGACTGCTGTTGAAACGTTGCAGAACGCGGATGAAATTGGCACATTCTGTCTGGTAAGGAGTTAAAGATGGCAGGGTTTCACTTGCCCAGCATTCTCACCATGCAATCCACTCTCTGCTTCTCAGGCTCCTATCAAGATCTCAGTCAATGGCATTTATCAATTCTGTAGCATCCCATCTGAATTTTGAGCACCTGAGATACTGCCCAAGTAATTCTTTCAGAACTGCCCTACAACTTTTCACTGAGTAAGCTGCTTGCTGTTCTCCGCTTATCCAGTGCTGCTCAGAAGCAGTATGTTCTTGTATATCAAATAACAGTCAATGTTCCCCCCACCACTGCAAGCCAAAGTCATACATGAATTTAACCCACACAATTCATCCAACGTAATAACACAATCCATGAGGTTAAGTGAGGTGAAGTCTGGCAGTTTCAAAGGGAGGATCCTGAACAGTTTGTTCTCCTGTCATTGTAACACATTTGTACATTACATGCTTTTTTTGGATAATGTAAAATATGCCCCATAGGCTGTGAATGGAGTCCACATATAGAACTGTTGTTATCTGTGGTACACCTGTTCTTCTTTGTTTGTTTCCCTGCCACGGCCTCAGAAGTCAAAAGGATTTAGTAGGTTTTTATTAGTGCTTCACACTGCAATTTAGAAAAACCAAAGCTAGAATCAAAAGTGGAATCAGATTGTCTGCAGCACAAATGTGAGCACTTTTCCTCCATAATGAATAATACAGGTCCCTCTCCCTATTTCAGGACTTCTTTTAAAGGTTGAAAAAGGATAAGTGCACATCTATTTATATTCTTATGAAGCTCTTTGTAAAGAACAACCGAGGCAGGGACAGGTGTGCAGTGCTTCTGTCATGCAATGACACCATTTTTCCTCCAATCTTCAGCAGTAAAACTGACATATGCGACATTGCTTGCACCAACCCCTTGAAGTTTTTAAACTGGATTGGGTGCTGGTGCTAGATTGGGGCTGGTCTGAATAGAGAAATGGCTCCTGTTGCTCCATGAAAATAAATGTGCATACAGACCCACTAAGTTATTAATGATGATCACTGAACTTTCAGGAGGCACCTTAGCCTAAATTGTGGAACCCAAAGGGCATCTTGTTTACCTCAGGATTCTTCCCAGCCAGTCGGCAATGTTCCATCTGTTCTCTGGGAGCTGGCCAGAAAATCTGAAAGAGAGAACAAAAACAGCGCTTTTGCTCCTACATAGCCTGTATCACTTGCACTTTTCCATTCCTCCTTTGCTTTAGATAGGTTATCCACTTTGGTTGGGAAGCTTAGCAAATTTATCTAATTGAACTTGCTCCTTTAATTGTTTATCTGCTGTATTGAACCAGATATCTGATTGCCACAAGGGCTGGACAATCAACGTTGTACACAGTGCTATTCTGAAAAGGGGGTTGACATGAGGGTCTGGACAATCAGTGCTTGCAGATTTGGTTTCTGATGAAAACAAGGAGGCTTTTCTTGAGCCCAACTCAAGTGGTAATGGTGTCTATGTGTGCAAAGAGTAGAAAGTATACTTCTACTACAGGCTTACTGTGGAAGGTATGTACACCTGTCTTCTCTGCTCCCTTAGCTTTTCTGATTTCTTGCATTAGCCAGGCAGTGCAACAGGAAGTAAGTTAGGTCAAAGAGGAAGGTCAAGATCTCTTCCTGCTGATACCAGAGTGTAGGACACAGAATAATTAAGTCAAGTTGTGACAACCCAGGTTCAGGCTAGATATCAGGAAAAGTTTATTCACTGTCAGAGCAATATGAGAGTGGATCCAGTTGCCTAGAGAGCTCATGGGCTCTCCCACACCAGAGACATCAAACAAACAAACTGGACAGTCATCTGGGTGGGATGGTGTAAATGGGTGGGTTGAACCCAATGGCCTTCATGACCCCTTTCAACTCTACTATTCTTTGATTCTAGGTGCATAACTTTTGCTGGCACAGCAACATGTTTCTGTTGGGGATGCTTAAACAGAGCATCTTAACCTGTCCACTTTACTGATGGGTGCTTTAAACTTGTATTTCCCTTCATTTTGATAGATCAGCACTAGCAATGAATAATTGTAAGCTGACACATATGCAAATGTGTACTGATAGAAGAGTGAGATTGCATAATTAACCCTAGGGCCTCCCAGGATAAATGAGATGTTGTTGTTGTTGTTAGTCGTGAAGTTGTGTCTGACTCATCGCGACCCCATGGACAACACTCCTCCAGGCCCTCCTGTCCTCCACCATCCCCCAGAGTCCACCCAAGCTCACACCAACAGCCTCAGTGACTCCATCTAGCCACCTCATCCTCTGCCATCCCCTTCTTCTTTTGCCATCTATTGTTTACAGCATTAGACTCTTCACCAGGGAGTCCTTCCTTCCCATTAGGTGGCCAAAGTATTTGAGTTTCATCTTCACTATCTGGCCTTCTAAAGAGCAGTCAGGGTTGATCTCCTCTAGGACTGACCGGTTTGATCGCCTTGTGGTTCAAGGGACTTGCAGGAGTCTCCTTCAGCACCACAATTCAAAGGCCTCAATTCTTTGGCGCTCAGCCTTCCTTATGGTCCAGCTTTCACAGCCATACATTGCAACTGGGAAAACCATAGCCTTGACTATACGCACTTTTGTTGGCAGGGTGATGTCTCTGCTTTTTAGTATGCTGTCTAGATTTGCCATAGCTTTCCTCCCCAGGAGGAAAGC